CTGCGAGCCCCTGACCGTCCCAGCGGTGCGGGTCGAGGCAGGAGTCACCCTCCACACCCCACTGCACCACGCGACGGCCTGGGAAGGGCCTAGAGGGCCTGCAGCGAGGAGACCCAGCTAAGCAGGGGTTTGGCCCGGCCTCTGCCTACGCGCCACGGGCCAACTCAAGGCGCAGGCGGTAGGAATGCGCCAGAGGCTACACCCCTGATCTGCTGCGCCAGGCCAGCGTGTTCCAGGCAACTTCTCCCCTCTGCTCTCTAGTAACGAGCCCTCCCGCCAAAGGACTGCTGGGGAGAGCGCTCCCCCCACTGCGCCCCCCGCAGGGACCCACCCGGCCACAGACGGCAGCCGGAGCAGCACCGAAGGTCGCTTTGGGAAGCATGGCTGGGAACCATGTGCCTGCTTTACTCACTGAGCGTGTGTTTCCACAGGCTGGGGCCGGTGTTAGTGTTTCTGTCGCTGCAGGGCCAGCTTTTAGAGTGTGTGTGTGTGTGTGTGTGTGTGTGTGAGCGAGCGGGCACGAGGGTGTACTCTGATCACACGCACACACACGATATACTCAGATCACACACACGCACACTCACATACACACACGATGTACTCAGATCACAGGCTCGCCTCAGATCACACACACACACACACACACACACACACGATATACTCAGATCACACCCACCCACCAGTGCCCTCAAGTAGAATTACCTGTATATGTTATGTCCCCCCCCTTTTTTCGGTGACCGTCTGGGCTCCCCTTAATATTTTATCTGGTTTGAACCCCATTCATACTGGCAGTTTGTTTGGTGCTATCAGGCACTGAATTTCATGAGCAAAAGAAGAGGAAAAAAATCCCCCATTATTTTTGCATGTAATTTGATGTTTTGAGTTCATAAGAAACTCCCTTTAGGAGCTGAAAGTAGATTTCTTCCTGCTACCAAAAGTAATAAATTGGCATAGAATGACTAGCCGACTGGAAGCATTTGGCCTTACATAGTATTGACCTAGTTTTGTTTGGACTCTTACTAGTAAGAGTGGCAGTTTGTTTAGACTTGGGTTTGGGCTGGGAGGAATTTAGGGTTTGTTTTTTAAAAATACATTAGTTTACCCATAGCATATGGAGCAGCTATAAACACGAGGCTCCGGCCTAAGTAAATGGTATGATTAAGATTTATTTTCTTCTCACAAACCATATGATGATGGTTTCCAATCTGTTTAAATGGAGAACACAGAAGTCCTCTCCGGATCGGCTTCTAGGAAGAATGCTTGTTTGGGAGCATCACCCACTAAGAAGTATTTGGTGATAAGCTGATAATCAGGTAGGGGTGACCACCCCCCCATACGTTAGACCTTGCGTCTTAGAGAATATTTTATCTTACAGTCCCTCCATTAGGAGCTTGTAATCCGCTATCAGGGCATTTTGAAGCCATTTGGCTGTAAGGAGATTTTTATTAATGGTTCATGAGCCTAAAGATTTTAACAGTTTGTGGCATTATTTATTATAATTTTTTACTTCCCCCCAACTTAAATGGTCTAACAAACGTTAATCAGATCAGGAAGTGGAAAGTCTAATAAGGCTGTTAACTAGCATTGAATTGACATATTTACCAGGCTATCTTTGAGGGCTCCCTACAGATCTTTTGCTGTTTAAATCAATCTTCTTTCTTTTTCTTTTTCTTTTTCTTTTTCTTTCTCGGATCGCTTTTGTTAGAGCCAGCATTATAAATAGTAAATTAAAATTATCCAAGAAACTACAGCTCTCTGGATTATAGTACGTCGGTTTACAGCTGAGCTCAGCTGGAAAAGCCTACGTACTTGCTAAAAGTACCCCCACTAGTGCGAGGTGTGAAATCAACAAACTGCCCTGAGCGCTGTACAGTCTGAAACATAATTCTCTCAAATTTATTCCTTCCGATTGAAAACGAGCTGGCGAGTTTTAAGCCCATTAGGTGACCTCGCGGCCAGCGGCTTTGGCCCGGGTGACTATAACTTTCTAAAAATAATGTAGAATTAAAAAAAAAAATAAAGCGGATTTCGGAATGAAATGGTTAATCTCCATGGGTCGGATCGATCCCCAGTGATAGCTGCTCCGCCGCGCAAGCGCTGCGCTTTGGTACCGCAGAAGCGCTGGGCTAAGTGGGTGGCCAGCTAGGTTGGGTTGACTTGGACGGTGCGATCACCTGTCGGATAAAACAGCTCAGGAAGGGCGCGCTTGCCCTGCTAACTTCCTAGGGGAACGGTGGTTTCTGCGCGTTGCAAACAATTCCAAGCGCGCCCGGAGGAGATTAACCATTTCCTCTGTACCTTTGAGCCACTGCTGGGCTGAGCTGCGTGATCACCCAGCGCGGTTCGGGTCGGGTCGCTGCAGAACCCGCAGGTCGGCAGCCGCGGCGCGGCCGCTTAGCAGAGCGCGTGTTTATACGAAACCTCGTGTGTGCCAGCCGCCTGAGTTTTGTGCTGG